AGATGCAAGAAGAGGTGATAAAGTTTGTGTATGACATATAAACCTTGTAAATTTTGCTTTCAGAAGGTCACAACGGCAAGACTACGATTGAACCGAAATTGTTACTTGGGTAGTGTTTTTTAACCACATCTATACGGACGATCTGACAGACTCAAAATTGGGTCGAGTCGACGAAATTTCGTCAAAAGTGTATTTGCTCAAATAAGTGAGGTGAAATTTCCGGGCTTTTCCAGGAAAAACATATCGAATATCTAATGTTTGTGGCCTTAACTTTGCCGTGTAACAATATTTTGTTATTATTTTTTTTCATCTAGAACCTTGAGAAAAAAGGGTCTTATTTATGCTGAGCTTGAAACATTTGGAATGCATTGCTTAATTTTCTTAAAATCACTGTCAGAAGGTCAGTCTAGAATTTTCAAAAACCACTCAAAACCAATGCTATCAGGTTTTTTTTCAACGGGTGCGATCCGAGAATAGGGCAAATTAGACGACGACTTCGACATAGTGGTTAACATCCATACATCTCTCGCCAAAGCCACTAGTTCAAATTTCATCCCCGGACAAGTCCCGAATGACCCATAAGGCCGTTCGCAATGCTGTTGTATTTTGAGTATTTGAAACTAGAACAGAAACGCACCCCTCACAAATGCTGAGTACCAATTAGGTTCTTTAAGGGTATTGAGGTAAATGCATATTCGGAATCAGCATTAAAAGTGGAACCCAAACCCAGAATTTCATCAATTTTGCTATACTGGAACTATTTCAAATAAGTACGATTACATTTGCAAAAATCACTTTATTAGCGCCCCTCGGTGTCACTTTGTATGGGAGCGAGCTGTTAGTTTGTTAGTTTGTGTCAAACAGTGAAGTTATTATTTTGCTTTAAATCTTGATTTAAATATCGAGATGAAAGTGTGTGAAAAATATCGCTGTTCTCAGAAAACGAAGCTCTTTCAGATGATGTATAAAAAGCGATACATTTTTCAAAATTAAAGAACCCAATTTGCAACTACCTGACTATTCTGTTTCATTTCTGAGCAGGTTTCAAACACGAATCGAACTCTGCTGTAAATTTCTTTGGATGTATTTATAGATGTTTCTCGTAAATGTTGAGAGAACTTTGTAGCAGTTAAGAGGATTTAAAAGAAATTTGTGAATATTATAAAAGTTTCGGGAACTACTGAGAAGTTTGGGGTTATTTGATAGAAGTTCGGTGTTCTTCATAAAAATACGAAAAGCTCCACTAAAAATCGGAGAGAAAAGTAAACTTTATGGAACTCATAGAAGTGTGAGATATTTTAAAAATATCGGGGAACATCATAGATGTTCTGGAAATTTCATAGTATATTATATAACTTTATGGAAATGAATGAACCTTCACAGAATTGCATGAAAGCGCTCGCGTCTTTTACATCAAACAGATAGTCTCTCATATGATACCAGGCTGCTCAGAAATTATTCCAACGATCTTCAGGTGTTCTAAGATCTACATGAAGTCTTCATGATATTTTTTCAAGATTTCAGGTTAATCAGATATTATTTTATAGAACTTCAACTATCCATCAATTCAAATCACGTTTATTAGAGTTGGTTGGAAATGCTAACATGAAGCTTTAGTGTGAAAATTTATTAGCTAGAGAATGATTTTTAGAAGAGGGTGGGTGGACAGTTCCGTTAGAGTACGGCAGTATAAAAATTGAATAGAAGTTGAAAATGAGCGAAGGGCCATTAATGCGACAGTATAAAGTCAAACGCACACCTTTTGCCTAACGCGTACGATGTACGCGGAGACTTGAAGTACGTTTATTAGATGTCATGATACCATGTTGCTCAGTAATTATTCCGGACACCATCAGGTGAACAGACATCCTCATGATAACCTTAGGTTACTTTTTCAAGACTTCAGATTGATCGGGTATCATTCTGGAAATATCTAACTATCCAACAATCCAAATCATATCTCTCCGATCATTCGACAGCCATTACTCGTATTCAACGGACGTGTGCTTGTTCTGCTCTGCTTAACTTGGTGAAATATTGTAGCGAAAATGAGTGTAGTTCGTAAAAACACACTTGTTGTTGACTTCAGTGTCCTTCCAGTTCGTCACAATGCGCGAAAAGTGCAAAAATTCTTCGAGAACAATATTAAGCTTCAATATTCGGACGTTAGATGCATTCAGTTTCATAACGTCCGAAACTATGTTTTTATTGAGATGGTAGACAGTGAAGTTGCTTTGCGCTATGAAAAGGCGCACAACTATAAACACGCGTTTCTTTGTAAGAAGAGTGAGTTCAAAATCCCGGTATATGTGGATTGTGAAGCAGTGACCGTTCGAGTGCATGACCTTCCTCTGGCATGGTCATAAGCCACTGTTATGAACCACATGGCAAAGTACGGGACAGTGATTTCCAGTCGACATGAGAAATGGGAAGCACTACTCGAAAGCGCCAACGACAACGAAACAACGTTGGTAATGTACGACAAGCAACCAAAAACGTGCCGCCATTGTGGCCGAGCAGCACATCCCAAACAGAAATGTTTGGATGTAGCCACATCGAACAATAGCACCGCTCCAGCAGCTCCACCAACCGAGGGGATATTCAGTCTCGCTGATTTCCCGTCGATGGATATCGAACAAAACCAGCCAACGACATCGGGTCAATCATCTCCTGCTTTCACCGGGTTCTCAGCAGAAGAACAATAGCGTAACACCGACAATCAAACCGAGGAGCATTACACTTCAAACGTTGAAAGCAAATTTGAAAAATAAAAGCGGGAAGGGATCTAATTGTAAATAATAGTCATCAGCCCAAGCAATGCCCAATAGGCGAGGGGGCCTTATAGAAAAACGCAATAAAAAAATATCTCTCCAATATTCTCTCATATGATATTAGGCAGCTCGGAAATTATTACAAATACCTTCATGTGTTTTAAAATTTCCATAAAGTCCTCTGGATACTTTTCCAAAACTTCATCTCCCAAATATTTTCCCATGATATCAGGTGACTCAGCATATATATACTGATCAGAGATCCCCAAAAACTTCTCATGATATGATAGATCAAGTATTATTCAGAAGATCTTCAACTTTCCACCAAAATCACGTCTCTCAGATATTCACTCACGCTCAGAAGATGTTTCAAAGACCATCAGGTGATCAGCGATCTCCATAAATAATCAAAAATCAAAATGACATCCCTAAGATATTGTTTCATATGGTACCAAGCGATTCTGATGATCCTAAGCTGTCCAAAAATTCAAGTAATGTCTCTCGGGAAACCTTATGACTACTAATTTTCCCAAAGACCTTCAGGTGGTCAGAGAACTTTAAAAACTTCTCTGGATATCTGGCCATCATATTCGTGCTAAAATTATCGAAGCAAACAAACTTTGCACACGCACACATATGTAGGCATGAATACCATTCACAGTAATTTGAGCAACCATGCGTTCCATCGAAATAGCATGTGAAAGTGAATCAATTTGGCGTTTCGCTGCGTGCAAGGATTTCACGGGGAAATGCACTAGAGACTTTAACGTGACCGCAGAGATGAACCCAGCCAAAACAATTTCCAGATAAAAATGACTTTCCCCACCCGAAGGTGGCTCATTGAAGTTCTATTTTTTAACAACCATTTAGGATTGGGCGATCTTCAGAGAAAGATCGATCTTGACGGATCGACATATACGAGCGTCAATTTTGACATAAAATTGAGTCACAATAAACGCGAAATTAAGCTCAATCAAACGTACTTTTCGTCGAGTAACGAACTTTTCTGTCTCGGAGCACTTAATTTTACATGACTTGTTTGTTTACGTTTCATCCTGTATGTGAAAGATGGATTCCGTCACGTGCAAAATTAGGTATTTCTGAGTGTGTATATTTGACTTTAGAATCGATCCACTGATTAAATCGGTACCAAAGAATCGATCTTTTGATTTTTATTTTAATACGCTTGTTTACGTTGGTATCCCAAGAAATTATTTCCTTTATAATGTTGTCGTGGCGGTAAGGGGCTGTTCATTAAAAAAAGTAGACAGTTTTTTGGGATTCTTGACCCCCCCCCCTCCCCCTGCGTAGACAATTGTCCATACCATTTTTTTTTTAAATTTGTATGGGCTGTGGATAATTTCCAAGCCCCTAACCTGTCTACGTAGTTTATGAACAGCCCCTAAGGAGCAATGAGCACAGGAGGGAGGTAGAACAAATCTTCAAATGTTGCTGTATTCGTGAATATCGAAAACGCAAATAGTGACATCATTGTCGGGAGCGATGCTGATGTTGACATTATGTTCGTTAAATTTACTACGCAGTCTGTGGTGAGAGTTGATCGTTTTTTAGATATAAATACACTTTAAAAATTTAACACCTATTTTTTTGAAGATCGAAAAGATCGAAAGGAGAGATCGATTTTTTCGATCTTTTCGTGGACAAAGAATCGATCCGACAAATCGGAAATCGGGATGAAAAGATCGATCTTCCAAATATCGATCCAAGTCTACCGAAGAATAACAACACTTTCTATACGTCGTTCTCGCGGTTACATACTAACACATACCTATAGGAAAGTAGTGCAAATAAGCGAGATAGGGAAAAGCAATAACTTAAAACAAAATAAATTAGTTTTCAGTACGGTCCTTAACAAGATTACGTATAAATATATTACGTATCATGAATCATAAATCTACATCCCCCAGACACTGGCATCGATCTCTCTGGTTGATTTTGTAGTTGTTTCTAACATTACAGAAATGAGTCTGAAGTGGGAACGGTCAATAATGCAATCTAAGAGACCGAAATATTGTATGAGTTGCACCTGATTGCTAAAGCTAACAACAACAACTTTTAAATTCTAGTTAAGCAGAAACTTGTGGACCTAGGCTTTTAAATCTGGAAATGCAGACTTAAGGACCGTGTATCTTACACATGACCCGTTTGCAAAGGGGATTTACACCAAGGATGGGAAATTCGCTTACCAGCACGCCAGCACTATGCTATTTCACTAGCGCTTATGAGCTAGCTGCTAGCAAAAAAGCACACAACAGGGCGCAACAGGGCATCAGCGTCTACCAGCATGAGATTTCAGGAGCAACTGAAATTCGTGCTAGTTGGCTACACACTTAGAAGTAACTAATTTAACACGTAACGGAATCCGTCTTTGACATAAAAGAAGAGACGTAAACAAACATGTCATGTAATATTAAGTGCTCCAAGACCGAAAAGTTCGTTGCTCGACCAAAAGTACGTTTGATTGAGCTATATTTCGCGTCTGTTATGACTCAAATTTATGTCAAAATTGACGCTCGTATATGTCACTCTCAGAGCACCTAAATTTACATGTTTTTTTTTTCTAAGTGTGTAGTACACTAGCGCTAGCAAATCCGCAAAGATGTAAACACCCCTTTAAAGTGGCATATTACGCTCAATGATCATCACTTGGAGGATGGAAACAGAATCAAGTTAGTGTATACCTCACATATTCATGATATCGAGCCAGCCTCAGGAATGATAAACAACACCGGAAATTTCTCCATAAATGTGCCTCCCCTAGTAGAGTTGTATGAAGGAGGTCTGTTCAATCTTCGTTCACAAGAGTTCGAACCCTCGTCTAAAGATTCTTGGGTTCACTCTGCGATATTAATTGATGAAATTAACATTACCAATTATAAGACGCAGAAATCTACTGGGACTAGAGACTCTCCTTCACCAGGGAATTCAACTGAAAATATCAGCATTCCGCCTTATATTAGGTTCGAATTCGCTGTCTCTCTGGTGTGTGGAGACGACTCGGTTCCAGTGGGTTCATCTGCAGGATCTCAAAGCGAATTTGATACATTGGCCTCCCCTCTAGATAGAAACAGAATACTCCGCAGACGACGACCAATTCCCCAAGGAGGTGGTGGAAGAGCCAGACCGGCAAGAAGAGGAAGACAATCAAGAAGTAGGTCTAGAGCCTAGAGATTATCAGTGGTTTAGGAGCGACGTGAGCCTCACACTCATCCTAGGGACATCCCACAAGCTTCCTCGGGAAGGTCTCCTGCAGATTCCAGTCAAGGGTGGTAAAGGAATTATGTCTTAAACTAACGTGGATGATAAGCACGGTATAGAATTGTGGTGATCTCTCCCGAATTAGGATGACACATAGATCTCTGGCTTCGATTTGAATTTTTATCATTAACCTCTACTGTTTTCTTTAATTAAGTTCTTTTTTAATAATAATAATAATAATGAGCCATTTAATAATTTAGAAATAGGACTGACGGGGGTCAAAGAAAGCAACGAAAGTCATTCTTATTGCTATACACCTCAATCGGTCGGCGGGTTGGCACTGAAACTTTATAAGCGTGCCGCTGCTGACCACCTTTCCCTAAGGTAGGTGGTAAACGTCTCTGTTGCCTACTACAGGAAACCTATTTCTCTAAGATACCTGCACCATCTAACTTTCATTGTTCCGCATTTGTCGAATGAAGTTGTGCCATTTCGTTGGAAATGCATTAAAAAAAAAAAACAATACAATAGAAATAGGTTGTAATTTTTGGTTACCAAAAGGAATGTCAGTCGCGCGATGGCTAATCAACTAATTTATAAAATTTTGGCGCAAGAAATCGCTTTGACTCATCTATGTTGCTGAGACTTGTTCTCTGTACTTGGATAGTTAATTTTGACTTTTTACTTCACGAAAGCTTTACTTTTGTTTGTTTTTTTACCAAATGACTATGACGGTAAGTTCTTAATCTAGCGTCTTCTAAAACACTTATCGGTAGGATTGCTTACATTGCTAGAAGCTTAAATTTAGCTTTATCGTGATAATTAACAGTACTGTATCAAAGACTTCCTTCCATGAGAGCACCTTTTTCCGATGGCTGTTAGTTGCCGCCATCCATTTTGTCGTTTGGATAGTAAGCGCTCCAAGATTAGCTCCTTTTGTTAAATATTTTTCACAGTTTTATCGTTCCTACGAACTGTTTTCTTAGATTTATATACTATTTGACTCAATCCGATTCACAAACGTTATCGCTACAATCTTATCTTTCTAAACAGTTTAGAGGAAATGTATTGGTTTATTCAATCTATTCTCTCGATAGATATTTCTTCATTCTCAAAATACGTAGATAAATGAACGGACTTAAACATTATGGATCACAGAATATGAACGGACGTACCACGATAAGCAGGGAAAAGCTTCGAATCTGTCAGGGGGCTGTGCGCTAACTTAATTAATTGCTAGAGTCTCGAAGAGTGTTATTGGAAAATGGTCTTACTACAAGGAAGTAGAGTGTGGCGATCGATTCCCCTTGCTTAGAAAAATATCCCTTGATGAACACTGACTAGAATTTTGAATACCAACTATTGGAAGGCTTTTCACTGCCACGTGGTACATCGACTCACAGTCTTTTTGCTGCATGAAATTCTACTCAATATGGGAACAAATTCATAAAATTACCCTTCTCCTCAATCTCGTCAGGTAGCTTAGGTGCAGATCTGCTGTCACTTTCGTAATCCAAGATTTAGGTTTGTTGTGCTGCCGCAACAAGACTATCCTATCTGTTTCAAAACTACAGAAACATAATCAAGGAAAAATACAAATAATTCAGTCAATCGTCGGATCGGTTCCGGCAGCGGGTTCAATCCTTTCGTAAAAACAAAACAAGTTTTGTGTGTGTGTTCCTTTAGTTGTTCCGCAGAGTTTCCTAGTTCAGTTAGTTTCCTTTTCTGAAGAGATTGTATCTTGCTCTTTTATTTTTTTCTGGTTGGCCATGCGAAATATGCATCGTTCGACGTACCGCTAGTTAGTCAAGTCGTTTTCATATTAGTAATCTGTGTTTTTAAAAATATTGTCATGACTTTTCCTCCAGTTTTATTAGTGTTGTATAAAATTTACTCTGCTATAATGTTTGTTAATATATGTATCCTCGAAAAGAAACTGCACTAGGCAGAAAAATTCACGTTTCATATATCGGCGATGCTGCGTCTCGTTTACTGGTTTGCTGGTACATTTTCTAATTATATTACAACATTTTGACCAACGTTGGTTTCACACTAACTGCTAACTGCTAAAACACTGAAAAAGTTTCCTTATAGTTTGGATATTTTAAATAGTTCCATTTATTGTGATTTGTGTATGTAAATATATGTTATCTGATTTTTGTTTTCCCAATACTTAGCGACTACAAATGTTCTTACCTTCTTCGTGAATTTTCTGATTTTTTTTTCTCAGTTGTATATATGTTACAAGGGTTTTGTTCTTATTCTTTTGCAAGACAAAGGTGTGTTAATCTCACTTTGGCTTGTCGCCTACAGCTAAATTCTTCCGATACCTTATGCGCTACACTTTGATAAATACTTATATAATTCCCTTTTTCGAATGTACTTAGCCCCAATAAACACACATTCATGCTTATATTCGATAAAAAATATATAGTTTTGATTCACTTTCTCATCAATAGTTTGTTATTATTTCCTTCTGTTCCTTACAACTAGACGCATTTTGTTTATTTTTCTTTTAATTTATTTATTTATTCAGTTGTATGTTGAAATATACGGAGAAAGATTGTAAAAATTAATGCTTCGATTAGTCACTTCTATATGTATAGAGAGAGGTAAAAACAAACGAAAACAATGCTGCATTTTCCTTGTTCTAGTATAATTTAACACTAAAGGCTGTTTGTTTGAGTGTTTGGTTTTCAACCAAGCGCTTTATCACATATTTGGCCAATGATTTCTCGATTTTCTTCTTGTTTGTGTATTGTGTGTTACCATTTGATTAGAAAAATAAATAACATTTTTTGTTGCCCTTACGCGCTAACTTAATCGTACGTTTGTGTTTGCGGTTTATTCATATATTGCTTTTTAGGATTATTAATATTAGTAAGTAGCTATTTGTTGCCAAATGTACAATTTCATCAATTGAAAAGTGCATCGCTCGTGATTTAGTAATCCTTCATTACGCATTTCTAGAACTAAACATATTTCGTCGCCAAGTCAATATACTGGAATGCAGAGTGCATAAAAAATGATAAAGAAACAAATAACGAACAATGCTAACAAATTTTCAAACCTAAATCAGCATTACTGTAGAGTCCAAAGTTTACAGTCGCAGTATATCTAGTACGGATCGGTTGTGCAGTAGTAGTGAGTGGTAAGATGTTGGAGGAGCAGGCAGAGCCCCCCGTAGGAGCTTCACCTCCACATGTTGATATGTTGATTTACTAGAACTCAAAATCAGGTGGAAGTAGAATGGTAAGGTGCTTGTGCTTCGTGTCAGCCGAAGCTCAAACGAACTCTACACACTATTGAATAGTGGGAAGCATTTTTTCGCGCGTTTCCTGGCTACTTAAATCTGATGTGCCTTGAATCCAGCTAAAAATCACAACCACAGCTCGTAATTCCACGTGTTCTCACTGCGTCACGTGGGTAAACATTTCTGGGGATGGCCCAAGTGTTTGGTTTTTTTTTGTATGTTTTTGTATGTTTTTTTTTTGGTTGGCCCCTTTACTTTGAGATCGCTGTTATTGATTCCCTGTGCTTTCATATCTAATGTTCACCATGTTTTGTTTGCGAGTAAATGCCATGGTGCTCGATAAAAAACGTAATAAATCTATCATTGTGATAATAGTTGTTCTCGGTACTTTTTTTTTGTATTTAAAGCATGCTCAGTTATTCGCAATTTCAAATAACTAACCAGATTCGTCTCAGTAAGATAATAATTTAAATATGCATATAAAAACATAAAATTAACAAAAATAAGATCAGGTAATAAAGTCTTAACCGCTACATCATTGCTAACCATTACACTATTCCCCTAAAACACTTTTGTCGTGTCATTATAATAGCAAAAAATAAAACTATACAAAATATCATTTTGTCGCAACTCTGTTGTACAAACACTATTCCTGATATTGTACATACTTTTGAGTAAAGACCTGTGTGTATTGAATTGCATTTTGCTGCGATTTCCCTAAACTTCACTTATTGGATCGTATTTAATAGTACGGGTGCGTTTATGATTGTAGAGAGTTGGCGATGCGCTGCGTTGCATTCTTGTTTCGAATCAACCAACAGATCAAGGATAATCAAGTTTTACTCACTTGGATTTTGACACTCAATTCAACTCACCACCGAGAAGGTTTTCCGGCAAGAATGAGTTAAGGTTAGATGGCGTTCCGCGCTCGGTAGGACCATCCAGGGGAGTCCACAGGTTGACACCCGCCCCGGAAGACGGCCATCCAGATCCCCAGGTATCTGTAGAAAAATATGATATTTGTTTGCTTAGTTTGGTGCAATAATACTATAAATGGATTTTCATCAGGTGATCAGTCTTTGTGACCTATTTTTATGTAACATTCGCTTCTGTTATTTTGAACGCCACACCATTCAATTCAGTCGACGATTTGTGCCAAATGCTAGCTCACTCACAGAAACTAACAACACCAGCCTAGTAGGAGAGGGATTTCCCTGCCTGATGATGGTGTTTTCTTGCGTGGGTGAGTTAGCAGTTAAGACAAATCGTCGATTGAAGTGATTGTTTACAAAAGCAGATACGGCGATTTGAAAATGTATGCTTGAATTCGTTTCCCCATCTACACTGAACGAAAATACATGCAAAATATCAAATGAATAGTCATTCAAAGTGCTCTGTAATGTCATCGTTTCGTTTTCGAATGACAACAGAAGCAAACGAAACAGATTACTCATATCAAATGCGAATCATCCTGCTTGCATATGATAATGACTTTGATTTGTATATGCCTTCATGATTGATATTCGTATCCACACCATACCTAAAGAACTTCATCTCAAACGCAACAGATAAATAGATCAAAAACACCCTATAACAAAAATCATTCATTTTTAGATCTACAAAGTTGCTGGTCATGCTGGTCAGACATATTGTAGACAACTTTCTTTAATTTGTGATTATATGTGTGATTATATCCTCGATTATATCCAAACGGGTAAGCAATAAACAAATTCGCAACGCGTTATTATGAAAGATCTATGACCTTCATTTATTCCCGTACAGAACGATCAAATGGAAAGTGCTTTCACTTTAAATACCAGGAAAAGCTTAGAAGTTTGAAAAGCACCAGCGATGCCGCTTTCCACATTAATTTATGTCATTTTCTCAGTGCACGAAACAACCGGAATTCATATACCGACCTTGCCACTCAATATCCTGATCGACGTCAATGTGGAACAGACCCAGCAGGTGGAGAATGAACTACAAAGAGTGCTGAAACGGCAGCGTAACAAACAGTGGTTTCATGCCAACAAGGTACAGGTATCCCGTGGGCACGAGGACAACTCCGAGACAAAAAGCTTGCATCACCTGACCCTGGTGCAACCATCAACCATTATGCAGTTCACCTACAAAACGGTGCATGCCAGGGACTCCCGAATTTATTATTGTTTAAGGAAAATAGTAATTTTTTATTGTTTAAGGAAAATAAAGTGTCTTTATAAATGTTTGTACCGTGCTGTGATCATTTTAGCTGGGAAAAAAAATCAACATCACATGAATTTTGTAAATTTCGTTCAGTTTTAAGCGTATTTTCATTAACATAACTGATGAATTTTCGTTTGATTTTCAGATAGCTAACATTTAAAAATTGTATTCTAGTTAGTATTCCAAAATCAGGATGACACGCATATGAAACACATATGATAAGGTGTAAGAAAGAGCAAAAGATAATCATCCGAATATCGAATTATTAGTGTTATATAGGGCTCCATCAAATCAATAATCATACAATATATGGCGGAGGTTTTCGTTCAGTGTAGTATGCGTGATAATGTTTGCACCATCGTACAAATAAGGTTCCCGTTTCACCTGTGCATACAATGCCTTGGTTTTCTTTGCATGCACGTAAACTATAGCTCATACCGTAGTAGGCTGTGTATAAAAGAAAATGTTTTACTTAGTTTGACAGTTGCACCATGACGAAGTGGCAGCGTATTCGTGATTTGTCCCACGCGCAAACGTCGCAAAAAGACATTTCAATCGCCGTGGGAGTGTCCCGGTGGACCGTTAAAAGGCTTTTAGACCGAGAAAAGAAAGGACAACTATCCGCGAAGGTGGCCACAGGTCGTCCGAGGTCAGCTCGGGTTCCGAGGGTTATCGCTGCTATCAAAAGGAAGATTCGGGTGAATCCAGTGCGTTCAATAAGGAAAATGGAAAAGGAACACGGGATCAGTGACTTTACGGCACGGAAGATCGTAAAGGAAGATTGCAGGGCGAAGTCAAGGGCACGGAAAAAAACTCACAACGATGCAAGAAAATCTTGAACTTCCTTAAGCGAAAAAATCCGGTAATCCTGTTCACCGACGAGAGTATGTTTACCGTCAATCCTGTAACAAATTCCAGAACATCCTGCCAGCGTTATGGTGTTTGGATTGGTGGCTTCCGATGGTAAAAAAATGGACCTGGTGTTCATTCCAGAAGGCGACAAGGTCAACACGGAGGTCTACATCGGGATTTTAAGTAAGTATATTCTTCCGTGGATCAAATAACAGTACCAACGGCGCCGGTGGTGTAGTGGTAAGCGTGAATACCTCTCACCCCAGCAGGCCTGGGTTCAATCCCAGTCGGCGCCGCCGGGATGTTCTGAGGCATAACATCTCTGATCACGCCTTCCTTCGGATGGGAAGTAAAGCCGTTGGTTCCCGGTTCATGAGTTGATGGGTCGATAGGTAGGGTCCAGGTGTGGGAGCTGCCTTCCTGGCACGTCGGTAGCATTGGTGCTCAGCACGGAAAACAAGATCGACGGAAAAAACAAACCAAAGGAAAAAAAAAAAAAAATAACAGTACGGTCCGAAGCGAAATGTTGTATTTCAACAAGATGGGGCTCCGTGCCACACCTCGAACCGCACTCACAAGTGGTTCCGTTCTGGGCGAAGGATATACTCAATGTGGCGCGTCATGAAGGCCAAGGTCTGTTCTAAACGCCACCCAAGTATAGCAAGCCTCAGACAAACATTGACCCGTACCTGGAGGGAAATGGATCCAGACTACATTATTAGAACCTGCCGTGCATTCCGGAAGCGTGTGGAGGCCGTAATTGCAGTAAGTGGAAACTCGATCAATGATTAACATAGTTTAAGACTCTAAGAAACATCTCAAAAATGATTTTTTTTTTATTTTTTTTTATTTTGACATTGCTCAATGGTGCAAACATTATCACGCATACGGTACATGTTTTTTACCCCATAGTTAATGACTATGACAAGGCAAACAAAATCATTCCGAAGCTTATGGCGAGGCAACGCATTGCTTGCTTTCTCTCATTCAACACTCATTACTCATATAGGGGAAATGGATGTAATGTCGGCCTAAATGCTCCTATTTTGGGCCCATACATAAATTCAGCAATCGACTACATTTTCAATACCGACCAAAAATATCCATTAGTACTGTCCCAATGACGCGTTCTAAACTAATAAACTATGCTTAACCGGATAAGGGCTCGTTGCTAGCAGTTATTAAATATTAAAAAAAAAGTTAGTAGCTCACGATGGAGGTGAATGTGGCGCACACTTAGATTTTTTTGCCGAGATTGGCACCCCGACCAGCTCGACATTTTTTTTTACTGAGATCTCAGCAAAATTTCTGTTTGTTAGCTGATATGGTAGAGCGCTACTTCGTCGTAATGGCTCATTTCCGTTTCATCGATCAGAAAAGATCAATAATATCAATGATTTCACCGTGCACAAATCAATAATAGGTTTGTTCCGATGCGTTAGTTCATTGGCTACAACATAAATCATATTAGAGCGCATTGTATGCATATTATTTACGCTCATTGTTCTCTTCGTAGGACGAAGAAAATCTAATGGCGTTTCAATGCGTTTGGACGGAACTGAAACTCGTAGGACGAATTTAGCAGTTAAGATTTTAAACAATATCTCAACAATTTGTGACTGTTTTTAAAATCCAACGGTAGGTATGGAAAGGTGAATAAATTTAGAAGTCATCTTTGACAGAAATATTCCATTTGTTGTTCAAACCCGTTAAAAAAAAGAGGTAAAACGCGTGTTGTGCTTAGTAGGACGGAAATTAGATCAAAAACCCTATCTCGTTTATCAAAATCCCGTTTGTTAGCTGAATCTCTACAGGTTTTTCACTGATATATAGCAAAATAAATTGCTGAGCTAGTCGCCCCGATTTCGGCAAAAAAAAAACTAAGGCCTCCCGCACCGATGCTTTGCTATTTAGGCTGCTAAGTTGGCAACTTTAGCCGTTGCTATTTTAGTTATCAACCAGTGTAAGCAACCGTTCGTTGCTATTACGATTGTTATGTTTTTGACTATAGCAGTCGGCAAGTAGGGCTTCCGATAGCCTAGACAGTAATGACACGGAGTATCATTGTGCTTGCCACACAATATACAAATTCATGCATTGGTTGTCGTAGTGAGCTCTCAATCAATAACTGTGAAAGTGCATCTAGAACACTAGGTTGAGAGCCGGTAATACGCTCGCTACAGAAGCTTAAAAGCCTAGAAGAAGAAGAAAGCTAGGTATCACCGCAGATAGCCAAGTCAGTAAAAGCACGGTATTACCAAGCCAGAGGCGGCGGATTCGATTCCCGGCCCAGTCGAGAGGTAATCCTTCGGGTTGAAAATTTTCTCGTCTGCCCTGGACATAGCATATGATTGTGTTTGCCACGCAATATACCAATTCATGCATTGGTTGGCATAGAAAGCTCTCGATTAATAACTGTAGAAGTGCATCTATAACACTAAGTTGAGAGCAGGAAACGCTCGCTACAGAAGCGTTTAAACCGGAAGGAAGGGTAGGCATCACCACTGAACTGCACTTGCAATACTTACAGGATTGTCGGATATAGGAATAGAAGTCGCTTAACATTCTCAGTTTTGATTGCTTCCGACGTATTAGATCGAATGCGACACACGTGTCTTCTTTCGAAAACCAGAATATGCACGATTGTGGAACGGTTCACATGTTAAAAGGTAGGTTGTAAGATATCATAAATATTAATCATACCTGTTGAACGAACATTCGACTGTTGAGAACCACCTGTGCGCCATGGTTGTGCATTGTTGTTATTACCGACACCACCTCCAGTTGAGCCCATATTGTTGTTCATGTTGTTGTTGTTGTTGATGGTGTTATTCATGTTGTTGTTACCTCCCGGAACACCCAGGTGCTGGAGGATAGTTTGCACTTCGCTATCCGTAGGAGATTCAGCACAGATGGTTGTATTGCCCAGCACACAGTTGTTCAGTGCCTGTTGAGCTTTGTTCGCTTCTTCACGCGATAGATACTTGCACAGTGCAATGCCGTGGTTCAAATAGAGATGGAAGTTTTGTAATGGCCCATGCTGCATGCACAAAGTGCGAAGAGTTGACCCATCAATCTATAATACAAATATGGAACCATTGAGTTTCATGATGTTCGTAAAATCTTATCTTTCAAATCTCACCTGTGCCGTCAAATTCTTCAACAAAACCCATGTTGAATACCAGGCAGGACCACCGGCATTACCACCACCAGATGGCCAGTTGCTTCCGCCTTGCCCGGGTCGTTGATTCCAACCATTGGATCCGAAACCACCCGGATTCTTTCCAGCAGACAAACCAGGCGGTGGACCACGTGGAGTTTTGCCACCTCCTGTTCCACCACTGTTCAAACCAGTACCCCATAAATCGGGAGCACTGGCATCAGACCATGCATTCTTGTTACCACCCAACTTCGAAATGGAGCTGGAGAAATTGTTGTTGGTCGGATTGAAGCTCCAGGTCGATGAAGAGAAACTGATGGAATCAGTAGGGGATGGTTTGCTGCTGTTAGCAAACAAGTCCGAATCCTTTGCCGAACCAATTGAGATCGATGTAATCGGACTGCGGGCAATGCTTCCCGGTGTGATGGTTGGATCATCCTCGATTTTCATTTGAGTGCCCTAAGGATAAAGGTCAGAGCGTTAGATAAGTTTTTGGTAAATTATATTCATCTCAAACAAACCTTCCATGGTTTTCCTGGCTCAAACTCAGGAACCAAGTCAGTGAAAGAATCCTGATTGGATGGCCATTCTTTGCTGGCAGTGTCAGCAGAGGAATCCGGCCATCCATCTCCAATACCTCCGCGACCAGTGGACCATGTGCTGTAGAAGAAACGTGTGGTTTTTTAAATGTATTCCTTACGAATTACGATCATTTGCAACTTACTTATCACCTTGTAGTCCACTCAAGCCACTGATACTGGATCCGGTGGTGGATAGCGTAGATTTTGCCGTTGTTCCGGGAGCACGAGAGAAATCGGTCAAATCGTGTCCACCATCTTTATCCATGGCCGGCAACTTCCACTGATTCAAGCGAGATTGTTGACTAGTTGAACCACTACCACTGCCACCTCCACCGCCTCCGGGACCATGATGGTAGGGACCGTTGTGTTCCTTGCCCAACCCCATTTCCGACAAACTATTCTGAAGAGTTTGTAAGTCATTCGGTTCACGGTGGAAGTTACCTCCCAGGTGGCCGATGTTAGAGGCATTTCCAGAATGCTGTTGTTGTTGCTGCTGCTTAACGTAGATGGCTTGTTGGGTGGCAATTTGATTCTGCAATCCGGTGATCTGTTGCTTTATTTTAGGAATCATCGACATCTGATTGTTACCAGCTCCACCACCACGCTGTAGGTTATTCTGCGTGACTTGAAGTTGCTACAATAGATATTACAAATTAAACCACCTAGTGCCCTCAGTGTCTCTAGAAAGAACAACTCACCTTGATATTATTCAGCAACTGATTCAACAAGAACAGTGTCTGCGGTGCCAGCGGTTGATTGAGGATTTGATGATTCAAATACCCGGCTTGAACAGCCATTTGAATTTGCTGAACCAACATACGCAACTGTTGAGTGGATGGTTGGGCAGACGAATTTTGACCAGCACCGCCGACGCCGCCACCAACGCCACCTCCGCCACCACCACCCAGTACGCCTCCTGCGCCTCCACCGACTCCGCTATTCGGACCTCCTTGGTTGAATGGGCCAGGGCCCGATGGAGGTGCTTGGTTTAGATAGCTTTGCTTGTTCAAGGAGTTCAAACTGGCGAGATTTGGATTTCCACCGCCCATACCACCAGGCATGTTGTTGTTTGGTCCATTTTGATTCTGAATTAAAAGAGAAAACGGATTAGGATTAATGTTTTTGGGAAAACAATATTTGATGTAGGGCAAATGGCTCTAATGTTGGCCTATGGATCTAATATTGGGCCTATCGCTAAAAATCTTAAATGTTCAGTGATTCAAACTGTCAAAACCATAGGATTTTTTAATCTAGATAAAAAATAATTTGTCCAGAATAGATCAGACACGGACCAATTCATAACTTTTGCATGCTGGTTCATGGCTTAGCTAAATATTTCCCGCGAGCACGGAGCCTAATGACAATAGTGTGCTTTGGTCAGAAATTTTGTTATTTTTGCTAGGGTCATTCATGTCGGTTTGTCAGTGATCCAACTGCACAAAAATCACCGATGAGTTTTCAGGTTCAAAAATTTATTGCTTTATATTTTGGCGTTAATCATTGTTATTACTGTTGTTTTTGCATCAGTGGATGGAAAATTAACACAAAGGCATAAGCATCCCAAGTAAAATTTCCAGTTTTATAGCATTCTATAAGACTAAATCATGGTCTACAGAACCTTCATAAAACCAAAATTGTGCTATTAATGCTATTAATTGACGTTTGTGTGGCTTTTTTTTTTAAATTTAAGTTGGAATGATTTGTTGGTGAGTGCGTGAATATGCATGAGAATAACAAGCGTGGGATTTGTTTGCCAAATTCGTACGCGAGTTTATTCTCTCAGGGAGGCTCAATGAATGAAATTTGAGAATGATTATCCGAACACTGCTAACGACATCTCGCGAGCCATTCGCGGAAAAAGCTTGCTTGCCAAATCTCAAACAATGATGCATATAAGTTCGATAGAATGTATAGAAACGTCAAAGTGATCCGAGCGCTGTGGTGGGGGATTTGCGAAGCATATAATACTGAAATCAGTGGCGTTTCCTTAACCTCAATTTACCTGTGCACCAACTCTCAAAAGATAAACAATTATCAAAATATTGCTTGCAATGGATGGATATCGAGTAAACTAGAAGATTAAGTGTATTTTTTAACCGATTGAAGTATGAATATGGCATCAAATCTGGTTTTGAAAGTTGGTGCACAGGTAAAATGATATCTCTCACAGCTCACGCAAAAAACGTAGGTTGCCACTAGTACTAATGAAAAATCATTCACAAGCCGATGCTGCTTGCTGCAGGAAATTGCGACTTTTTGCATTTTTTGTAATAATGTCAATGGCCCTCGCTCAATTTCAACTTCCATTCAAATTTTCATACTGCCGTGCTCTAACTTGATAGCTCCCAATTCTGTCCTTTTCATAACTTTCTCCCGCTTATAAATTTCGCCCTAAGTCTCATGTTGGCAATGTTGGCACATAAAGTATTTCTTTCAACTTAATAATTTTAACGTTGTTAGTATTATATGTAAATAGAAGATGAAGAGGGGGTTTCAACATGATAAAAACACGATTTGATTTTTAAGCATTCTTAAGGCAAAACTCATGAATATTTATGTTATGAATATTTATTAATTTATGTAAACGAGTTGCAAACACTCCATATACATCTGTTTATTTTTTAATATATTGAAATGTTACTAAGATTTGAGGGGGAGAAGATCTTACACAATCTTGAAACTGGTCTAGGTATCAAGGAAGGTCTAATACTCACAGAAACTCCATATATAATTTCTTAACACACAACGTTACAAACTTTGCGAAAGACTGGGAAAAAGTATCCAAAATTGTTGGAAAGGCATCTGTGCAAATGAGTAGCGTGAGATCAAAAATCCGCTCCTTGGCTTACGACTGATTGGATCTCGGATTATCTACGTTAAACTGTAAGAGAATACTATAAAGAACATGAATTGCAAATAAAAATCGAATTTGCTGTAAACAGAATTACGTTATTGTTTTTTTTTTAAATCGTGCTTCGACATTCTGGGACACCCTATAGAGCTCTTCGTTTGGCAGTTTTGTTTTGTTTCGTGCGCAAAAGCTCAAAATTAAGTGCAAAACAAATCTTTGTACCAACGAATCGAGAAGTGGTTTGCGTAATATTTCCTTGTTCCGTTTTCCGCGAAATAAACCGGAATGTGGAGTGTGGAAAGCGTTCGGTGCCCATAATATTACAATACTTCGCCCGCAAAAAAACATCATGATGACATCATGCTCGTTTGGCAACACTAACTCAGAGTCAATGTTATAATAAGAGTCCCGCCAAGATTAAAGACAGAAGTACCAATCTAACTGTCAAGCGGGGTACCAAACAAGCAAAGTAAATACACATTATTGTTATTGTTTCTTCGTTTTATTTAGTACATTGTGATATTTATAAGTTATACCAAGCACTTGTTTGAACATTTTTCAGGTTCTATAATTATTTTTGTCTTCCAGAAGCTCCGTAATCGACATGAAATTTTTCACTTCTGAATGAAAGTCATCCGATGGTAACGCAAAAACTCTGGTTGCCGTTTACTCTGACGAAAAATAAATCACAAACAGTGCTGCTAGTGTGCAATATTTTCTCTTGGCGGGACTCTTATTATAACATCGACTCTGCACTAACTGACAGTTTGTTTGGCTACATTTTACTTTGCCTCCGCTTATCTATGTAATCTATAGTATTTATAATCTTCACATGGCCATAAAAAGAGAAAGTCGATGAAGAGAATGGATCAATGTAGATTGAACTGTGCGAGATTTTACCTTGCCACAGATAATATCGATGTTCAGTTATTGCCTGTTCGACTGAAAACCGATAAGAAGTTCTCGTGCGTTAAAAATAGTGTCGAAAGGAGTGTGCTGTAATTGCACAATGATGCGCTATACAACGAACTACTTCCAACACTATATACATTTTAGTGAGCAATATTCATCATGAAAACAGGTATATTTTACTGGATTTTCTCATAGTGCAAACTTATATGATTTTCCATTAGTTTCTAGATGTCTGTTCCCACCCATGACATATCAACAGTTTTTCACCATGAAATATATCAGACAATATTCATATACTTATTACCTATCGCTAACCACGTTCGAAGCAAAGTATTATCAAGTACTAAGTATATGAAATTACGATAGAAATCATTCCATATCGCAGTCATAGTTTTTAAGTGATAATCCAATGGAATCTATCAATCATCACATAGAATGAATAAATCTGCTGACATTGCTATGTTATAAGATGGATCCAATAAACGGTACATGTCGATTTGTTTCAGTGTAGGAGGTTATTCCAGTTTTCAACTGTTCCTATAACATAATCCCTACGGAGTAGGCTGTGCGTGTGTTTTCGAACCTGACGTTTGTTTTTTTTCCGTGGAGTTTTTTTTTAATATAATCGGTTGCTGAGCTGGCCATAACCAGGCCCAGGAGACAATTTCTAGTTCCTCATTCGAGGTCCCTATTATTTGCCGCTGAGAAGCTGTTCCGAAGCCAAGTAGAACCTCCACGAGGCGTCCCATCATTCGTTGAGTCGCAGCGTTGAACCTGACTATTGACCACGAAAAGGCTTACCAATGCACATCAAAAATCGACTACATACATCCGAACATTTGTTTATCTCAAATCGAAGGAAGACATTCCGCGCAACTACCATAAACCCTACTAGTTCATGTTGATTTTCGTCAAGCTTCGTCTACAATTTGGACTTCTACGTCAACACATGTCAGGCAGCCTTCAGGTTTAATTGGCTAAACTTGGTGAGATCGTTCTATTTTGTAAATTTTTATCTTTTCAAACCAGTAATGTTGGGAGATCACCTTTTTGTGGTGCGTTACTGGTATAAGATCTACCACCGAACCCTAGTCGTGACAACTTCAAACTAGGGAATCAGGACTTTCCAGTAATCAAAGGATCCCATTTTAGGCTGTGTTCCATTTGGAAATTTTTTACTTAAATTTGACACTTCGAAAATAAATTAAGATGTTCGAAAATCCCTCTGTTGTTGATCGGCCGATTTTCGAGAAAGCGTCTGTCAAAGTTGATTCCTTGTCTGTCAGAAATAAGTCTGCTGGGATAGCAGGTTTATTTGAAAATTTTCCGTCTGTCAAATTTAAGTGAAAATTCACCAAATGGAACACAGCCTTAGGCTGTGTTCCATTTGGCGAATTTTCACTTAAACTTGACAGATGGAAAATTTCCAAATTAACCTGCTATTCCAGCAGACTTATATCTGACAGACAAGGAATCAATTTTGACACACACCTTCTCGAAAATTGGCCGATCAACAACAGAGGGATTTTCGAACATTATAATTTAGTTTCGAAGTGTCAAATTTAAGTGAAAATTCGCCAAATGGAACACAGCCTTAGTCCTTGTTACTTTTTATGATTTGATAATAGCAACCGGTGGAAACTAACGATTTTAAATCACTACACGGATAGAAATCTCCTTATACCTTTTGGCAAATTTCTATTGCTGATTATTCATAAAATGTATAAGTCAACTAATAAGCAGACGCCTTGCAAAAAGTTTTTGAAGATCATGTGTCAAATGAAATGTATAAGCGGTCACACATACCTTTTATGCATTCTTATAGGACCTATATGGTTTGTCTTATGGAATGTATAAGGCTGATGTTTGGCAAAAATGTATAAGTGAAACACATGAATAAAATAATTGATTTTCGTTTCGTGTACTTGACTAGCCTATTGGTCCCAAGCAAATCGATTAACGTATCCTTTTCTTATTAGAAATTCTAGTACTTCACTATGTTTGTTTTGATTCGTTATGAAAGTTTGACAGATAAAATGAGGGGTTCGTGGATCTTCCCTTCCTATGTTTCGAGGAGTGCATCGATTACACAGCAAAAAATTAATTTTAATATCACATTAAAGTAGATCTTTAATCTTCACTTCACTTCAATCGTGTCGTACATATGGTGTAATATTACTTGCCAAAAAGGCCAAAATTATCATTAATACAGTGCATGAACTGACATTACGCTGCTTTTACTGCATTAGTCTATTGTTATGGCCATAAAAATTACATGAGATTTTCGACATGATTGAAGTGCATCCTCTTGGATGTAATATT